TCCAATTTTCTTGAGTTTTAACCGTTTGTGATAACACAACTTCAAATTCAAAATCTAAAACTTTTAGTGAATCCATATTAATGGTGGCAGAGATCACAGATTATAATGTACTAAGAAATATTTCCATGTATACGAAGGAGGAGAGAACATTTTAAACGACCGGAAACAAAGAAATACTTTTGACGTTGAGTAATATCTCAGCTTTAACGCATAAAGCTACATTCGCTAAATTAACCGAAAGTATTTTAAAGTTGGTGGTTGAAATACGTAATGAACATGTTAGGTACCATCACCAAAATCTGACTTGATTATTTCGAATAAATTGAGCATTGAGTAGATTGATATAAACCAAAAATATGTTTTTAATATCCCGATGAGTAGTAAAGTAGGATTTTATGACGTTCCGTGACTTAGTGTAGGCCACTTCTTCAGAGAATGAACAACCAACTCAAAATTAATCCTAGTTTAGATAGCACAACGGAACAACAAGAATATTATGTGATCGATCGAAAAACAGGTCCGAATAAATGAATGTCATGTCATTTCATTCAAGATGATTCATGTCCAGTTATCACTTAACTAACAATTGTTTGCAAATTTTTATTATTATTTATTTATTTTATTCTATTTTTGTTATCATCAACCTTATTTTCACCTCCATTATTTGCTTGTAATTCATAAGCGAAGTGTTTGTAAATTTGTGTGCATGTATGTGTGTACTGCTAAGGGTGAAAAATGTGTAGCCCTCATGGTGAGAAAGGATAGAGTTTAATTTGTAAGATAATAGTGTGAGTTGTGAATAATATCAGATTAGGTGGCTAGGATAGGTAGTCCAATTAAGATATATGGAAAGGCTTTCTTTTCTATTGACAGCAGTAGGATTAGGCATTATATGGAACGCTTCAGTGAATCTCCATTAATTCCAACTCGGTTATTTATTCTCCGATGAAGTGACTTACACTAAGGCACGAAACGTCAGAAAATCCCATTTTTCTCCTTATTGTATTATTACAAATGTACTATTGATTTTGTAATGAATTTATGTGAGCTTTTATCAGCCAACCCAAAAAATCTAACACTCACATTATTACAGAAAATTGTCATCGTTATGAAGGTAAATCTGCATTCAGCTCTTATCATCCATGTGACCTTAACTTTCTCATTCACTTAAACCCCTGGGTTTTAAAACAGATTCTTAAGGCAACTTTGATCATCAACCATTATTATGAAACAAGGCAGGTTTGACGAATATAGTGTAGCGCTACTAATTCTCCTCTTAACCACGTTGCCTTGGTTGATTATTAGTTGTGTTACTCAAATAAACACAGCTACTCATCGTCTGTCTGTCTGAACTGTATTAAAATAGTTGTAACAAAGCCAGAAGTTATATCGACAGGAAGGACTGGATATAAAACTAAAAAGCTGTGACAAGCAACAATCAAATACCTAGAATCACCAAAACAAAGGAACGGGGATGTTTGATTTACGCTCACTTGTTTCACTTCATATTCTGTCACTACAATTTTTTAATCAGCCATAATGAAATAATGGATATTCAACAGCTGAATTTGATTGTGATTTCAAGCCAAAAGTTACGAGTAGTGTCAACAAACAAAAGGCGATAACAAGAAGTTTTGGGTTGAATGATTTATTATTTACTTTCAAGAAAACTCGCTTTGCAGCACAAAAAACAATGTATGTAATTTCATATCCTAGAAAGGTACTGTTGTACTCCGGTCTTAGAAGAGGAACTTGCTCCACACACTCAGGGAGGTGCTATGATGCCGTCCAAAGAAGCAGACAGGGCGCTTATACAATGGATATCTCAGACATCCAGAATCACCAAAAAAAATCCTTCAAAATAAAAAGAGAAGGGATTACAACAAATGTTATTTTAATGTTATGCACCCACCAATGATAGCAACGACAACGATAGAGATCAGTTTTACGTGAGGCTGCCATCGATCACAGTAAAGTACCCACGAAAGAGCCTGACAATGTTGTTGGGAGAGCTAAACGCCAAAGTCGGTTATGAAGATATTATGGGAAGGCACGGACTAGAAGAAAGGAACGAGAATGGAGAGAGATTTGTAAATCTATGTGTATTCAACAAGTTGGTTATTGGCAGCACAATATTCCCATATAAACGCATCCACAAAGTTACATGGGTTCCACCGGACTACATCACAGAGGACCAGATAGATCATATTTGCATCAGTAAAACATTCACAAGGTCAATGGAAGACGTAAGAACCCAGGGAGGTGCTGACATAGCTTCAGATCACCACTCGGTGGTAGCCAAGATAAAACTGAAGCCAAAGAAGCATTAGACAATCGGGAAAACAGCATTTCAAGCGTTCAACACAGCCTTCCTACGGGATACTGACAAACTGAACGAATTTGAGATAACTCTCAACAACAGGTTCCGAGCCTTACAGGATCTACTCAATGAAGGACAACTGGAAAGGGATAAAAAAAGTACCATCGTAAGGGATGGATCTCGATGGAAACCCTGGACAAGGTTCAAGAGAGGAAGAACGAGAAGACAACGATGATCAACAGCCTAACAATAACAGAGAAAGTGAAGGCACAAGCTGAATACACAGAAGCAAACAAGGTAGTGAAGTGGAGCATTAAAGCTGACAAACAGAAATACGTGGAAGAGCTATCGACGATAATGGGAAAAGCTGCAATAGAAGGAAATATGAAAAAACTATATGACACAACAACGAAACTGTCAGGGAAATATGGTAAACTGGAGCGACCAGTCAATGACAAAGAAGGCAAGTCAATCACTGAAAATCGGTTACCATGAGGTGTTTGACAATTCGGATGGGAGAACGTCGTCAAACGTACTTTGAAGCTGGACATATAGACTCTGAGAATATTTACATTTAACACATAACGCTTAGAAAAGTTAAAAGTCAGTGAACGTGGGAACAGTTATTTAATATGACTTAGCTCGTACTTGAAGACGTGGTGATTGTGCGTAACACATTCATTTGCACATTCAATATATTGTTCTATTCCCAGCTGATTGTCACGTAGGACGAGTCAGTATAGACCAAGGTGTGACTTCTACTTAAGATCTTATGGAAAAAATATTCACACCACAACGAATCTCCAGTATGCTATAAAAAAGTAAAGGCATTTTAAACATTTATCTATGCAATATACTCAATATCTGTTGACCAGATACCATCAGCACCAGCCTACTGCGGGAGAGAAAAAAAGAGCTTTAACGTGAGGAGGAAATCTGGAAAAGACATGTGTTGCGGAAATCATCAAACTGCACTACGAGGCATGTGCTAACTTGGAAACCTGAAGAGAAAAGGAAAAGTTGAGGGAAAAAGGACACACTGTGTCGGGAAATAGAATCAGACATGCAAAGCATGAATAGCAACTGGGAAGGATTGCCTAGGACAATGTTTTATGGAGAATGCTTATGAGTGACTTATGCTCTTCTCGGTGGGTAACAGGAGCAATTAAGTGAGTAAGTAAGCAAGCAGATAAGTAAGCACCTTCAAGGTGGATATGTCAGAAAATACATCTAATCCTACCGTTTACCATATGGATGTCTTCGGTTTATATGGAGGTTATATTCTTTATCACCTTGATTTCGAAAAACAATACAACTGTTGAGAAGATAACACTAAAATCTGTGAGTGAGAAATAATTGCAGCATTTTGCTCGCTCATACACGCTCTTCCTACAACTTTTAAAATGGTCGTCAAGAAAAGTTAGTAAACCTTTTAATTTACAGAGAGTCATAATTCAACAACGATACTAAATCCTAGCGTAGCTGAAGACTAGAAATTCAGTTCAGACTTCGCAATGATTCTGTCATCTCTAATCCAACTGAAAATTAAGACGTCCCACATAGTACACAGGTCAGAATATGTCGGATATCGTGAGTGAAAATGTTTTAGATCAAGGCCACCACATTTACTGGGCTCACAGTCGAGAACCTTTTCATACATAAATCAACCGAAGCTCTAATACTTTGGATTTCTGGTGCTAAAGAGATAGTGTCTTGTAAGGCAGTCATTTTCCTGGGTATGAAAGAGACATGGGGTATCATACTTAATAAGTACACTAATTGAAGTCTCTTAAAGTAATTCCTTCTAAGTCTCCTTTAGTGAAAGGAGGATGATTGTAAACTGAATTGAAAGAATCAGAATAAAAAACACTTCTGGTGATTTTTGTAAGTGTGAAGCGTGCTAAGACTCAATAAGTAGCTGGATTGGTCAGATTTTTTATATTGGAAGAGCAGTGGTTACTGCAGCCGACTAAGTATCACAACTGAAATAAATTTCAAAAGAACGAACTTATTCAATTATATATACATAAGGTTACATCCAAGTCACGGACTTCAGACAAGAAGTATCAACTGTCGACCTATAGACACATCAAGTTTACCCAACAAAATGAGTGGGTTTCATGGATCAATTGATGTATATATTTCCCATATTATAGACACAACAGAAATCTGGGGTTCCTTTCAAGTAACTGACCATTCACTAGTTTTAGAAAGCATATATTATTTCTCAGTAGGTGGTCTAATTCAGACTCATTAAATACTAGGAAACGACTTCAGTCCTAATGTCCCTGGATTTTTCTTCAAGTAACTCGGGACAGTCCGAAGGACACAGCAAGTGCAATCAAGAGCCAAAGACGAATACAAATTCCCACCATGTAATCAACTCTTGAAACCAACTAGTGGAAAAATTGGTGCCTGCACCTTAAATTGGATCATTTGAAAAGACACAAGATACTCACTGAAGCTTACTCACAAAGAATTAAGAAAGCATCAATCCTTCACAAAAACTGTCTAACACCATGTCGTGTATTGTTAAAACTGTTTATAGAAAGCCCACTGACAGCAAATATCACAATCAGATGATCAAATAACTAACCTTACACTTAGGACTGTGATATAATTATATCTATTAATTAAAACGTGCCTAAGTATGTTTCATGATTCAACGCTCTTCGTAGTTATGGTTACGGAGGCAGAGGATTTTCAAAAGATGTGTAGTAACGTTGAGCTGAAGAAACCGATTTTCGGTAGGGTAAATCATAACAGCTTCATTGATATCCACAAACGAGATTCAAACGCTACTTACTTTCGCCTGCCATAAACGTGTTACGAAATGATGCATTATAACTGGTTTGTTTTTCATGTATATGTACCGGTAGTATAAAAAGGCTTCTTTATATTAATAGACATAGAGAATTGGATGCAAAATTATACTAGTGTTTTTCAACGCACGTCAATACTTCTTGCGACGTGTCCAAACAACAACATACTGCCAACTTATGATGGCTTTCGTAATAAACATAATTGTTTTCTCGAAATAAATCTATTTTAAGCATTCAGGTTAACCGGACTTGAAGTTCACATTTTCCAGAACGGTTGATGAATAGTCTTTATCCTTATGAAATGTAATTTTGTAGAATCGTTAAACAGTATGTCTCATCCTTTAAGTCTGATGGTAAAGCAACAGTGTTAGTTTAAAAGTGTTGAATGTCTACTAGAGAATGTTAAAAAATTGTGAGTATAGAATTGTGGAGATTTTTGAGTTTCATTGAAATCATAAACAGATCAACGTAGAACATCATTAGAAAACTAGAAGCACTGAGCTGCCATTTAGTGCCAGTATGGGGCTCAAAAGATTACATGTACATGACCTCACAAGCGGTGATAGAACCCAGAACTTTCCATCCTGCGCCTATATATATATATAACTACCAATATTATGTTCATCATATCGAAAGTGAAATGAACTATTTCAAACAATACGAATGACTGGAAGTTGATAATTTATTCAGTGTTTTTTTTCGGAATTTTATACAATGAATAATAAAGAATAATTATACCAGTATAGTTCATAATTACTTTAATGCATGAACAAGAAATAAAAAACAAATTCTAAATAAAAGGATTACCTGAAGTGTTGTATTACTTTGGTTTATTCGGAGAGGAAGATATCACACTTATTAACACAGGTAGGATTGCCAATTGACTAACACAGAGAGTACCAGACTTTGGTGACATTTGAATGCACTTTATTTCATATCATTTACATAGATAACCTTCTTAAACTCTTAACAGTCACTACAACATATGAAGTAATATTGCAGCTAATATTTCTGTATGAAATTTTGTTGGATTAAGATTTTCGAATGTAAACTATATTTATTTCTTAGTTTTTAAAAAGAATGAGTATATAAAGCCAAATAAATTTTACGTGATAAAGTATTCATAAAAAATTTCAAGGTGTGATATACAATTCATATGTGTGCTGGCTAAAGTAGATGTAAATAGACTCATGTTTCTACTTTAAATGAAGTTCACACACAGTCAGTTAATGAATCATGCATAATTTAAAGAAACATATTATAGAATATGATGAAACAATCGTTAGTGATATGAAATTTATTCCTATGTACACCTCTCAGTCAGTCAGCTACGACGTAGAATCAGGCACATATATGCATCGGTCTAAGTTGCCATACCTCATTAATACAACAAGATGAACACCGGATTCATAAAATTAGTTAATGCAAAGGTGGTAATATATAAAAGAAAGATTGCAATACGGATATAGTACAAGAGGAAATAATTAGCTCGGAGACAGAAAGATATGAAGCAATTTTAATCTCTTAGTTTAAAGGAAGACAGAGAGTGTATACACCTACGCCATTGTGATCGATCTTGAGCCATGTCACCAAGAATCTCCAGCCATTGGTTACGATTGGCACGCGGACCCCAACCAAGTAGTCTGCATCTTCCAACATGGCTCGGACTAGAAGTTATTGACACCTCTGCAATGTATCATGTTGTTTATGACTAAACGACTGATAGAGAGATCAACAAATAGATCTGTTCACATTAACGATCATATAATTCTCACATTTCGTAAACTCTCTTTATTGATAAATAATTACTAGTTCAAATCTATGAAGTCGAACATTAGGTTACAAATAATTAATTTTTAACCAAAAGAAATCTTTATAAACCTATAATTAATTGAATATATGCGGTATTGTAGAGCTCTGAAGATGATCTTATTTCAAAGGATTCTTCCAATGCATTGATTACTTTAGAATTAATGTGCACAAAATTATTATTTGCAGTATTTCTTATATATAACTGATATAAATAAAATGTTAGTTCATGGAATTTTCATTTTAGGAATGTGGTACGGTAGATCCTCATGAAAATGTTTCAAATTATCATAATTATTTATCAAGAGAGATTTCTACTAATAGTATAGAAAAATATAACTTAAATGAAAATTTAAGTGATTTACAAACTGTTAGTGAAATTTTTCCGAGTTACCCTGTTTCGAACTATAACAGTTCCCGTCCAGGAGCATTTTTTCCTTGGCCACGGAATATTACAGGTAAGTGATTATTAAAAATTATTGTCGAAAGAATTCGTAGCTAATCATTGATTCACTAAAATATAACTTCTAATGGAATAAACCGAAAATTATACTGAAATATTATTATATGATACCATAACCCTATAAACAAAATAGATCTGTTTAAAAGTAAACACCCCCAAATGCCCTGGTATAGCCGAGAATGAGAAGAGTCAGCTCTTCCACTCAAAATGCTCTCACATGGCCTCGTACATACAACCACTGCAAGGGAAGTCCTACTCACTGCATTCTACAATAACGGGTGTTGTTTACGAAATCGAGAGAATGAAAAGCGAATGTCTGGCACTTTAACTGGTTTGGTGGACACAGACGGTCCACCTAAGGGAGTTGCGAAACTCTGATTACAAACCAATGGTGAACATGGGACCCAGGATCCTGAAGGAACTAGATCTTTCAATTTAATTTACATTATTTCAATCAACTTCTTTATACTTTACGGAATTCTATACTTACTTACTTACTTACCTACGCCTGTTACTCCCGATGGAGCATAGGCCGCTGACCAGCATTCTCCAACCAACTCTATCCTGGGCCTTCTTTTCTAGTTCCATCCAATTCTTGTTCATTTTTCTCATGTCTATCACCATTTCCCGGCGTAATGTGTTCTTTGGTCTTCCTCTTTTCCTTTGACCTTCAGGATTCCATGTGAGGGCTTGCCCTGTGACGCAGTTGGGTGCTTTCCTCAATGTGTGTCCTATCCACTTCCAGCGCTTCTTCCTGATTTCTTCCTCCGCTGGGATCTGGTTTGTTCTCTCCCACAGTACGTTGTTGCTAATAGTGTCCGGCCAATGGATCTGAAGTATTTTGCGTAGACAATTGTTAATAAACACCTGTATTTTCTGGATGATGGCTTTTGTAGTTCTCCAGGTTTCTGCCCCATACAGTGGAACTGTCTTGACATTTGTATTGAAAATCCTGACCTTGGTGTTGGTTGACAGTTGCTTTGAGTTCCAGATGTTCTTCAATTGTAAATATTCTGCTCTTGCTTTGCCGATCCGCGCCTTCACATCTGCATCAGATCCACCGTGTTCATCAATCATGCTGCCCAGACAGGATACTATAACTCAATATAAAAGATTTATTAAATCCATGCGTTCCAATAAAACTCTTAAATTTTAGTTCAGATCATTACCTACTTTTCGAAATATTCAAATTCACTAAATAAACAACTGTTAAAAAGAATTTTTTTAGAATCAGTCTAAATATTAAATACATAATTCTAAACTGTCTCAGCCTTTAATGAATGCTGATGGCTTGTCGAAGAGATAGTTGATGTAAAATTTCATCTCGAAACTACGATTAGGAAAAACGCTCAAATGTTTCAAACAGGAAAATCAACTTTAAAAATAGCATTGATAAATAAATTGTCATCAATTGGTATTTATTAGCATTAATTAAGTCAAGTAGGTTTTTGAAAATGTTTCAACACCATCAATTTAAGCCAGTAACGAGTTTAGAATAATACAACAAATATAAGTAAAACCGAAAAAAACCCAGTTATTACCGAAATTATTGTTTACAAAATTAAGCTATTTTTGTTTAATTTTCTGTAAGAACACTTTCCGTTAATGTGTTAGAATTTATTCCCATATATATGTTTCTTACCGATTGAATTTTAATGAAACATCATGTTTCCATTTTAGTTAAGACATCTTTTTACGTCACATTCTTGTAATTATAAATTTTTCTTGAATTTCTATTCAGGTGAAAGAGTAGAAAAGTATGATAGTCGAAGTATATCTTGCAATGCTCTACTTGGAATTGAAATAGAACATCGTCCGCCAACAAATATTCCAGGACCAATTAAAATGGCATTTGGTAGAGCTGCACCTGGTTATTATGCACAAAAATATCCAAGTAGATATTCCTGAAAAAAATTTATTTATTAATAAAAAATTTTGCGGATGGATTCGATATAGGCACTCATGAGTAAACTAATGAAATTTAGACCTGATAAGTTTATATTATACGCTAGCTGGTTGTCAGGTGGTAAACAGACCAATGAAATAGTTCTCTTTCACAACAACAACTACTACCGATAGAAGTAAAGAAATAAATTTCTGACTAATTATAAAAGTGATAATAAATAAACATTTAACTAATAAACTGAAAATATAATCCAATCAAGTTGAGACCAAGTCGATACTGATTCTAACAAATGAGCTGGCCTTTTTCTCAGTAAAACAACTACGGTCTGGTAATACTTATTATTTATACGGAAATACATCTCCAACATTTATTATTTACTACTTTAGTGTATGTTTAGAAAAGAGGAATCTTGTTATCATTTCTTTTGTACAATAATAATCAACCAAATGAGATAATAGACCTCAGTATTTCAATCATATTTGATAGTTATTTTGAATAAAACCAATCTAACTTTTAGCTATGGGATAACGATGAATTGTGTTAACACAAATAACTGATTTTATATTCACCATATTATTACGGATAAAACGGGTTTTCAGAGATTTGTTGACAAATCAGTGTTAATGGCAAAATGATTTTATTGAAACTCAATGAAGCCGTTGTCCTCTGATGATATTAGAAAGAGACAAATTTATATCAAAAATTGACAGAGACTGAAAAATTTTAATTATGGAACTCTGACTGAGTGACTGAATAATATCAGACCTACTGTGAGGATTGAAGTTATTGAATTCTGTCCTCCGTGTGATCTTGGGTACTTACCGTTTATTGAATCATATAAAAGAAACTATTATTTTAGTGCTGCCTATTCTTTAATGATTTTCCGCTCCTTATTAATCCATTATGAAAATCGCCCTCAAATCATTTCATAAAGCTACTTTTTGAAGTGGCTAATATAGAAATCCATATTTTAAGTTACTGGCCAATCAGGTGCCCCTCCCAACCAAACTGATTGGTGAAGCCAGTTGGCTCTTATTTAAAAGGCATGCGTAGAAGCACAACACAATGAAGTAACAAATATTTCTCTTCATATGTAATTTTATAGCTATTGCATGGAAGAAACAAATGATTAATTATAATGAGAAGTAGATTTTTATAAAGTTATCCACAAACCAAGAGATTTATACTAAGTTATGGTACATGTTCCGTTGGTGTTAGTGATGATGAGAATAACTTTATATCCGAGTAGTTGAATTGATTTTTTTATTTGGAGGTTGATCAGATGGCATATTAGTTACTAGCTATAAAAAAAACTCGAGATAATTCATTCAGTAAATAAATATACTTACTTGTAAAATATATTTTCCCCCATATTCTCTTATTTGTTTTAGGTAAAGAAACATGGTTCAATTCCAATGCATTGCATCGTCATATACCTATAATAAGATTTAATCCATTTTCACGTAATCTAGATAACTATAAAAACTATAACAATGGATATAAAGAATATTTATATAGAGTAAATGAATTGACAGAATATCAAGATAAATATTTAGCAAATACTCCATCGTTATGAAAACAAATTAGATAATCCTGTTTTAACTTTGAAGATATAAAAGAAAATCATACACACACGTAGACACATAAATTGTAGGTTAGTGACTTGATCTTGAGGATGGGTCAAGAAGAAGTAAAAAATAGACACACTCTTCTGTTCTTTTTTCTTGTTTTTTTTTCACTTTCATTTCATTTCATTTCATTGATTAACTTGTGCAAATAATGTTCGTTGTCTCAAGCAGTTTTTCACATCAATCCATATAAACAAAATGATGGGCTATTTGAATAGATTTGTGATTGTTTTCGTTTTTTTTGGCTTACACCGTCATAGGCATAAAGTTGATTAATTATTAGAAACTGTATTGTTTTTAATATAGAATAAAATAGATTTAATAAATTTGATTTTGTTTGATTGAATAAACTATCATTTCAATTTTAGCTTGAATTTACAAGGCGATAAGTGTTGATATTAAGCGAATAATTCTATAATTCATCAGGTTGTATCCGCTACATTGAAAAAAACTGAGATGAATTGTACATTGTCTAAGAGTCCTATAGTCTAGTAATAAGCAAATATTAATGAACTATGATAAATAAATGGTTTATTTAACTGGGTGACAATAAAAAAGCATGACTCGTAAATACTTTTAGTTGTCATTGGAAATATGGCTCCCTATATCGCTTTATAGCCAACTTTACATGCCCATTTTAAATATCGAGCGAAAACATTGTACATTTCAATCCTTATTCTAATCTACTCAACTGATAATTTGAGCATTAAAGATTCTTGAAATTGCATGTGAAACCAATAGGAATACCATATCATTCAAACAACATCATTCTATTTCATTTCTCATTATTAACAGATTATTATGATGAATGGAAATATTGAGTCGTTTGATCGCTTTTCATATTAAAGCGAATATTTAGAAAGATATCTTCGTGAAAACTGATTATCACTTAAATATAACTGGAATAATGATTTAGTATAACAAGTAAAATTCGATATATTGACTGATATTCTAGATTAAATGTTTTATTGAATTCAAAGAATTTTTCTCAAGTAACCGAAGACAGTCAAGGATATGTTTAGAACAATCTGTTTGTTTAATATGGTAATATAACATGTTGGGTTTGTTAGTGTTTCAACAATAAGTTTGATAAGACTTAATTATGAATATGGATTGTTCTTTAGATTATGATAATTACATGGTATTTATTTTATAATATTCATTTCTCTGACTAGTTGGAATACATATCAACAATGAGAAAGCATAAATTCTCACGAAAACGAAATGTTATACACATTGAACAAGTGTTAGTGAATTACTAAATAAGATAGTTTTAATGGAAAAAACACGATGACATTTGAAGTAATAAGTACTTGGTTCAAATACCAGTGTGAACACTAACATTGAAATGGAGGTATATGTAGGTGACAAGTCATAAATTTGATTAAAACCATAACCAGGAATTTACCGCCAGTCATAATTCAGAGTGCAATTAAACCTATAACTACTATATATATACATATATATATATTCCATGAAAAATCATTCCAAATTTAATTTCGAATATTACCTATACTTAAAGGACAGATAGTTTATATCAGCATTCTTTATATTTACATTTAATAGTCATTTTCTGAAATTTTCATTATACGAATGTCAGTTGATTTAGTTCATATATACAATAACGCCTTGAAGACTAAATTCTCATCTAAAAATCCTGTACAAACCTTCATATATTATTATGAAAAAGTAGAACACATCTATCCTTTAATTTACTAGTTGAATTCATCAGACAATCGGAGCTAGACCACCATGGAAAACCTGGAAGCACTAGACGGCCGTTCTGTCCTAGTTTTGGACTCCTCAGCAGTGCGCATCCACGACCCCGCCTCACGGGATTCAAACCCAGGACCTATCAGTCTCACGCCAGGCGTTTAATCACTATATCACTGAGCCGGCATCCAACGGTGTTAATGTCTAACTTCAACTAATCCACGTAATTGAGTGACACATCCACCATTGTTATCAGTGAGTTACTATCTCACAACAGACTCAGTTTTCCATGGTGGTCAAGCTTAAATTGACTCATGAATTCAACTAGTAAATTACTATAGTATCCAGAAAAACCCTTCTCTGATTAAAATCTCTCTTTTGACTTTTTCCTTCATAAACATAATAGTTCAAAGACTAATAAATTAATGATAACTTATCATTTAAAATTTTGATAGGTTACAATAATAATCACGAGAAAAACAAATAATTTATACTAATCTAATTTCTAGAAAAAAAACAATTATCTTAATATTACTAATCTATAATTATTGGTTTACGTAATTTAATGGAATGCAAGTCATTTGCAGTGAACAAGAATACGAGTTGGGACAACAAAATGTATATGATACGAAATTACAGAGCATCTAACTAAAATCTGAGAACCATGTAGTAAATCGATTATTTGCAAAATATCAACCCATCGTCTCAAACTTGACTGTTCCCTTTGCAAATATCAGTCCATTGTCTCAGATCTCATTGTTCATGCACTTTCATACCAACTGCGTCTCGTTCCCGTTCTTTTCTTATCGATCTTCTACTGAAATACATTCTATGCCTGACCACCGTTATATACTACTTATGTGGATATAAGTAACCCACACCATAATTTTATGGCCTAGGATAATGCGACAATTTTTTATTCCTTCTATACAATGTAAAGTGTTTCTCTCCTTTATGATGCCTTTTTTCACTTAAACTTTTATTTGAATAATTGATTTTTATTAACTTTCATATGGAAAAAAATGCCCTGACACATGTGATCAAATTGTTCGAAATGTATAGCTCAAATACATTACATTTTTCAGATCAACTTCGTCTTTTAATTGATCTATCGAAATTTAATAGGATAAATACAATGAAATTATTACTTTCAATAACGGTAATCATTTCAATCTACACTGAAAAGGAAAGACTAGTGATTTAAATTAAAATCAATTGAAACAACCTTCCTTTTTTTTAAAAAAAAAAGCAAATTATTCAACTGAGTAAAATATCAGACAAAGGTATTCATGACTACCTAATTCATGAAATCAGATGTTTATTTTCTTCTAATTCTAGCCAGTTCCTTTGTAGTGAACAGAACACGGGTGGAGACAATCGAATGTATTTAACACAAAATTACAGGACTTGTTAATAAAATCTAACAATCATAAAGTAAATGCTTAATTTGCAAAATGTCCATCAGTTGTCTTAAAATGACTCAGACTTCATTGTCCCTGCATTTTCATACAAAATGCATCCGTTTTCCATTCGTTATTGTTCGATCCTCTTGTTTCTCTGCTGCCAGACCTTCTGTTCACGACTAACATCATACATTACTTATGTCAATATAAGTAGCGCACACCACACTTTTAGTTCCATTGTAGTCAAACACACACTAAATAAACATACTTTTTATCAATTCATTACTGAAATATTCAATTATTCTGAGAAGATATCAAATTGATAATTTTATAAATGTTTCATTTAAACCTAAGTTACTAGATTTTTGATTGATTTGAAAGACGATAGGTATAAAAACGTGGAAATTTGTAATCTATTTATAAAATTCTAGTAAGTTAAAATCTTTTTGTATAATAAAGAACGTATATACTTTTCTCCTTTTAGAAACGGTATTCTGAATTTGTTTGCTTACAACACAAGGTCTTAATGTTCCTGCTGAAATCTGAACAACAGACTAACCTTATCAAATGTTAAAGAAGTATGCAGTAAACTGATAAGTCTGTATAGTCAGTCACTTCTTGTTAGATAAATATGTATCAGAATGGGTTTTGTGGAGATTGTAGTAATTTCGACAGTTGAGATCATGAGTCTATTGAAGCTTGACCACCATGGAAAACTGAGTCTGTTGTGAGATAGTAACTCACTGATAACAATGGTGGATGTGTCACTCAATTACGTGGATTAGTTGAAGTTAGACATTAACACCGTTGGATGCCGGCTCAGTGATATAGTGATTAAACGCCTGGCGTGAGACTGATAGGTCCTGGGTTTGAATCCCGTGAGGCGGGGTCGTGGATGCGCACTGCTGAGGAGTCCAAAACTAGGACAGAACGGCCGTCTAGTGCTTCCAGGTTTTCCATGGTGGTCTAGCTTCAATAGACTCATGATATCAACTGTTGAAATAAATATGTATCAACCGTTATTACAACTTAATTTGATGTAGTTTGCATACTGGAGAACAAGCTACATTTGCGGATAGTTAATTGTAACTTAACATATTGACTGTCTAATAATTTAATCTGGAATATATATATTCTATTTGATTCTTTTTTTGACATAATTAAACTTCAGAGGAAAATTATCGACAACTTTAGTGTAAAATAAGATTGAATACACTATTCTGAATCAAATCAAATTTAAAACGAATCACTAACATCCCCTATTTTAGATAAAATCATTGTTATACCTTGAATATCCCAGTTTTAAAAAAGGATTTGAGAGAAGTAAACGTTTTGTGAAACAAATAATTCCAAATTAAAGTACACTATATGATTATAGTATCATTTTGTCCGTAAGCGAAAAAGCTGTAGAAAGTTGTCATCTATCTGGAACAAAATTGTCATTTGTGTACATTGTTAGAGTTATCTCCTAGTTTATTATTTAGTGGTCAACAGATCACAAACAACAGTCATAGTGACAAGAACTCAGTTTTTATAATATACCTGGTTAAAATAGTAACAGAATATAATGGCAACTCGTTGTGGTGCCGTCTGAAGATGCTTTTTGTCTCCAGGATGAAATCCGCAAGAAACTAGTATTTTGAATGTAAGTAATTAAATTATATAAATAATGCTTCTCCAACAAACCACTGGTAATGGTAATGCGTTTTGTCCAATAACACATATGTTGTTACAGTAAGGAATTATCTGCACCTATTGTGCAATATTCAAACAAGTCGGTGTTAAACATGCATTCAAACGGTAATTAATCAATAACATATTTTGTAGATGGTTTTAAGTTATAATTCGCCAACTATCATAAATTATGACAGCTTCCCATCCTTTTATTTGCTACAACTATATTTTTCATTCAACATATATAAGATGAATGGATTGTAGTACATTCCACTCTCGTTTTGCCAAAGGATAGATAAAGAGGAGAATATCCCAAGAACTACCAAATGCTATGATGAATTAATTGACATAAAAAGTGTTCGTGAAGTAGTTACGAAGCCAGAATGCCCAGGAGTGATGTCGTTCACACAATTGGAAAATTAAAATTTAGTCCCCAAGTTCGACAGTCGGAAATTCGGGGTAAGGCTTGATGCTTACGATAGTAGAAATGAAGAATTATTTAACATGAATGCGACTGAACCGGACACTGACTTAGAAGTTCATGCTTACCTCAGGGAGCTTAGGTCAAATAAAGATGAAAAGCATGCCAATTTCATCACGTCCAAAATTTTATATATGATCAGTTTTCACAAAGCACTCAGTGTCTTTGGAAAATTGTATGACGAGCAGTCATTAAATTTCATCATTCGTTATAGTTATATACAAACACCCGACAAAGTTGATGATGTTTATCTTGTTTATTCAGACAAAGTGAATTTCAGATACAAAAATGTAAACCTTGTCTCAATATTACAAAGTTAGTCCAATTGCAACATACCTATATATAGAATGTAGCCACTTACTGATCTTAATGAGCATAACGCACATACAAATATCCCCTCCAAATGCTTTATAGACAAAGTGAGCGTACATGAATCACATGTTTTGTTACTGACA